TTTTTTTATTATATATTAATTTTTATAAAATAGATTATATTAATATAAAGTAAATTAAGATATATTAATCTTAGATAAATTAGAAAACTTAGTTAATAAAATTATTTAAATTAAATAAATATTAAAAAAAAATTAATATTAATTATTTAAATTAAGATATTTTAAATTTAAATAATTTAAAAAAGATATTTTAAAATTAATTTAATTTTTTTTTATATATACTTTTAAATTATTATATTATTTAAATTATAATCTTAAACTAATTATATTTAAATAAATATATATTAAAATTATATAAATTTAACTTTATTATTTTTTATAAAATTTAAAGTTAACTAATATTTAATATAATATTATAATTAGATATATAAAATTAATTAAAAAATAATAAAATATTTATAATTATTTTAAAATAATATATAACTAATTTTTCTATATTTAAATATAATAATAATTCTAAATTTAAATAAATCTAGTAAACTTTTCTTAAATAATAAAAATATAAAAGTAATATAAAATAATTTAATTAATTTTATTTAATAAATTAAAAAAGTTTTCTAATATTGTGATGGTGAAAAGGGGGACATTGGTGAAAAGGGGGACGTTCTTAAGATTCCGCGAGGGTGGAAGCGGAAGAATATTGTTCCTTGCCATGGGCCATGGTCATGGTTATTTCTTTTCTTTCCTTCCTCCCTCGGGAGGGAGAACAAGTTCTTTAACAAGTTTTACAAGTTCTTCAGTTATTCTAGTTATTAGTTCTTCTTTCAATTTGACTTGGTTATTATCAGTTCTCGTGGATTACTTTGTGTGGTGACTCCGGACATTTCTTCTATTGTTTTATATGTGGGAGTGTCCCCTATTTGACATACTCGTGATCTTTGGCTTCCCCCTATTTGGAAGCCTCCTTTGGTTGTGATATAGCCCTATTTCCTGTTGATTAACTACTTCCGACGTCTATTTCCATTCCTGCAGGCAGAACTGCAGCACTTCTTGCAGGAACTATTCTAGACCTTTTTGACTAACTGTTTCTTCTTGTTTCTTGTGGTGTTTCGGGCAGGCTGCACTGCTCCGTTATAATATAAACTATATAAAATATTTCTATTTTATAAATATCTAAAATAATATTTTATAAAAAAGTTTACTTACTTACTAAAAATAAAATTAAGTTTAAAAAAATTAGTTTTACTAGCTTTTAATTTTAATATTATAAATACTTTTATCTTAAAGTTAATAATTTTAAAATTTAATTAAAATAAAATTATTTATTTTTAAATCTATTTGTATTTAATTTTAAAATAAAATAAAATAATATTAGTGTTGTCT